CATAACCTACCTAGCCTCAGTAAGTAGATGATGGAACAAAGTTTAGAGATAACAAAAAGACAAAATTTATTAAGAGCTCCAAAGGACAAAATTGTAGAGTGCCATAATCACTAATATTCTGAAGAGACGCGGTACATAGAAAATTAATCAGTACAGGAAATAATTTAGCACAAAACTAAGATAAAATGCGCTACGGTTTGCTATTTTTGTATTATTTTTTTAAAATGATTATTATAAGAATTTTTTTAAATGATTATTATAAGAATAACTTTTAACATTTTTGGGGGTATTACTTCATAATACCTAAAGAAATCTTTTTTCTTTGTTTCTTTATCACCTACATTCTGCAATATTTCTTTGTTTTGTTTTTTGCCTTAAATATTTCTGTTTTTCTCTCGCTACAAGTTTTCCATCGCTCTCTCTGGTGATGTCATGATTGGTTCGAATTTGTCAAAATTAACATTGCTCAAGTCTCCAAATCGACTGTTTCTCTTCTGCTAGGTGGAAGATTTCATTTTACATAATTTCTAATCTTCTTCTGTTATATATAATTAGTTCATTTGTTTCTTTGTAATGCTTTGATACACTCTTCCTTCAGCAGACGATATCATCTCCTTGTAAACGAACGCTACGTAAACTGCCTCTTTCTCAGTTTGCATCGTCGTTTCGCGTCAGAGTTCCCTACCCCAAAAAGTTGATACAAAAGTGGTGGGAAAAGATATAAGAACACGTGAATTGTTAGACGCAAAGTAAACCTTCGTTTGAGGCGCATTTCTCTATTTTATACATTTAAACCGCATTATCAAATTTGTTGATTCTTTAGCTAATGGCTTCTTTAATTTATGGCCAACAGCTGCGACATTTGTTTAGGAATATAGTCTTGTTAATTGATGCTGTATTCCAATTTTGTTGGACGACTTTACGCAGCGCAGTACTTAACAAGTTCGTCTGCCAGATTCGCTTGTGTAAAGAATTCGTTTCTAAATAACTCACACATTTGACCTTGAGCCAAACGAAGCTGATCTCAATAAATTACATTACCGTGGTAAAAATAGTCCCTCAGAAAAATTTGACACACTCACTAGAAGAGAGATGCTTTTGGTCATTTCAAAAGGAAGAGAAAAATAATTTATTGATGTTGACTGGGTTAGAAGCAGGTGGTGGATACGTTGAGGTTTTTTTTTTTTTTTTTTTTTGTTTTATTCTTATTTTTATTTTTTGCAGGTGGTAAATAAATTCAATCGTCTCCCAAAGAATGACACTATTTTATAGCTATTACCAAATAATATGGCTGATAAATTTTGATATTTACAAAGAGGGTGCTGAAAGGTTTCCGGCCCAAATCGCTCGAAATCTGATAAAACATCAGAATCATTTTTAATCCATTCTCGGTGAGGCTGAGAACCCTTTTGTGCTACGCTTTACTCACAATACGTATGTGTATATTTTCTATATACCGTGACCCTTCGGGGCGTGAACGATCAAGGCTCTCTACGATTATCTTTCTTTCGTGTCAGTAAATAATGTTTGTCCCCTTAGTATCATACGCAGTCCATGTTCTGCCATCCATATTGTTTTTAATCGTTTTCACCCCAGGCAAGGCAGTAAAGCCACTGAGACACTGAGTGTGGAAGAATTAGGAACAGAAACATTAATAATGAGTGGGAAAGAGAAAAGAGTAATCAGGACAGCGGCTAGCGATTGATATTACATTTAAATTTTTGAAGATTAAAGTTGGCTGGAAAGCATGAAGCCGGAAGGGAGTTCCACAAGCGAGAATTGTGAGAAAAGAAACTGTTAGCATAGAATTTACTGCTACATCTAGCCAGCTCAATTATAAATTGATGAGATCTCGACGCCAGTCAAGTACTGCTCTTATATTTAAAAAGAAAAAGTCTAGGTACCATAGCGAAGAGTATGTTACTCGCTGTTTCCTCTTGGGTTCCCTCTCAACTTCAATATGTCCTGTGAGTGTTAAATTCCCCTAACCCGATTTCCTCATTAGGTATCCCAGAAATTTCAATTTTGTCTTTTTCTAACCCTAGGAACAGATGTCCTTTTCGTTTCTACTTTCCTAAAAACTTCATCGTTGCTTACACGCTCGTTCCGTTGTATTCTCAGCATCCTTCTGTAGTCTTTTCTTCGTCTATTAGGAAATTGTCCAATATTGACTGCCATATATGAGTGTTGACATTACATAACAGTTCAATACTCTTTTCTTTGTTTCTTGCGTCTTGGTCTTTTATTGTGTATGTCATATTCCTAACATTGATTTTATGGTGTGCGATTTATTCATCTTTGCAAAGAAAACCTCCACTTCAATTGAGATGTTAGATGATATAGTAACGTGTCTAAAGGAAAATGAAGATCATCCCAATTGAACTACTTGGTATCATCTTCATCCTATATAGATACAGTTAATGAACCAATTCCAAAAAGTTCCTTCTCTCTCATTCAAATAGCTGTCAGTGCCAATTGATATTTGTCAGAAATTATGTTAAACGCATCCACTAGGCTACCTAAGGTCATAAGCCACTTATTATTAGCTTAGTATAGTACATGAGAAACAATGCAACATAGAAAGACAGTGTTGTGCCAGTTTCAAAAATTGGGCTTTGAGCAAGGCTCGTACACCGATATAATTATCCCAATCGTTCCTATTTTGTTTATGATAATAAATAAACTTTTATAACCAGGATAAAACGTTTAAAACATGATTACATAAAGAGAAAGAGATGGAAATATAAACGTGATTTTTCTCGTTTTTGACCAAATTTGTGATTTTTGGGATTTTTTTTTTAACCAAATTAAGGCTATTTCTCTTTTGATCAAAATTACGAACTACGATTATAAACATTTGATATTTGCTGAATTAATAGTTAAAACTGATTTCTAACATTTGTAAATAAATTTGTGTGAGCGCAAACGCACAATGTTAATGCCATGTTTAGTATAAACTATAGCGTTTTAAAATTCGTCTGAGTTATTAAATCTGCAACATTGCTGAAGCTACTGTGGGCTTGGTGTTTCTCTCTTTCCCCCTACCCATCAGAAATTAATATTAGAGAGTTAGACTACTGAAATTAATGGCGATATATTAAAATAATTTTGGCGGAAACAACAGTACAGCGATTCGCCCGTGCACAAAAATTTAGCAAAATCTGTGATACTTTTGGTGAAAAAAAAAATGATTCTATTTTTTTTTTTTTTAATTTTACAAATTTGTTGATCTCAAAATTTGACTGAATACATAATTCAATAGAAAAATAAAATTATGGTCTTCGAAGTATTGTCATCCCTATTTAACTTTGAGCAATACACGTTTCATTTTATTTTTGTTGCTACTTTATTGAAACTTTGTCTACAAGTGCTACTGGTATCATATGCAACCCAGTACTACCTGCCGGGTCATCGGCGACTAAATCGGTTCCCCCACCAGACATCCAGTGGAATTAAAAATAAGCCCTGTCAAATGGCGGATTAACTTTCTTGTACGGTCGCAATAGTTTTGTCGTTCATTTAAAACCTTCCTACATTTGCTTTCAAAATTATACTCGCAATGAGGCTTCATACTTTTAACATCTACTGAGTCTCGATTCCGTCCCCATATGTACAATGCAATACTAAAGATGCCGGGGAAAATGGTCAGCTCATTCTATCACTACAGAAAGTATTTTGCTTCCTCTTTATCCTTGCTATTTTTACTCTAGTCAGATCAGAACAAAAAAAATGACAGCTGCTGGTATATTTGGTCTGAAGCTGCTCAGGCCTCATTTTGCCGTTTTGATAGACTTTAAAATCCTTTAAGCTGTCTTATGTTGCTTATTTCCCACTTTGCAACCTCTTTCCACACAGAACACAATGTTGCAAGCCTGTCGCTATTTCGATGGCAAATGTTCACATGAGCTCCACTCTTTAGTTCCAACAGTCCATATCTTTACAGCTAAGACACTCTATACCGTTTGACGAATTCTAATCCCCCCGCATTTTTTTTCCATCTTCCAAAAAGCAGCAGTTCTTGGGGAACACTCTTGCGTGGGTCTTTTCTTGAATACTTCAATCATAATCTCTGCAAATCAAGGATCAATCATCATCTTTTCGCTTTATCCTCATAATCTTTACAGCCTGACACATTTCTCCTTCCATTCATAAAACGCACCTCATTCGTCATTAACATTTTGACAGTACTCCTGTAGCTTGAGTGTTTCTTAAGACGTGTACTGAGTAAAAAATGTGTGAAAAATTGATTGATTAAATCAACCGTGATGGTAAGCACCAAAAACAAATATTTCTCTTTTTAACTGTTCGAAAGAGACAGTAAATAAAATTAAAGATATTTTATTTATTTGTATAACATTTAATATTCTTACATCACAATATAAATTTTCACCACTGTCTATTCAGAAAACCCCTTTATTTAATGAATATTTATCTTCATATCCCATGTGTTTATTTTTTTTATTTTAATTTATTTTCATTTTTCATTTTAATAAAATTCAATTTTATTAGTTTAAAAAAAAAAATCAATTCAAATAGAAAATAAGTTCTCTTCCCCCGAACCAAGAACCATAATACCTCATATCGTCATTAATAATTCACTTCCGCTTTAATGTGGAACAGCGCTTGGGATTTCGGGTGAAGGATTCTATTATCACTGGATTAAGTGTGCAAGTGATCGTAGTTCCATGATTATTTCAGGAAGTGAAGGGCGTACCTCTGGCTCTTCAGCCAGACAATGCCTAACCAATTCCATATGCGTCCACCTATGGAGCCGATCGAGAACTAACTTATAGACATAACACAGACTGTAGATATCGCTAGAAGCGGAAGTCGCGGATCCGGCCCTGACTTCCGGAGCTAGAAATGTAAAACTGCTCAAATCGGCGTCCTCAACCGGAAAAATGTATACATCATTGTAGGTAGCACGTGAGAGATCGCTGAACCAGACCGGGTTTTTGTGTTTTCTGGGTCAATCAGTATGTTTTCTTCGTTGAGATAATTCAGTAACACCTTTTTCGATGTACTTCTAATAAATGGACGGAAATATGTATAAAGAAAGCTAGGATTTCCGTATCGGTCATCCGGAGAGAGTAACGTTGGAAAATGTTCGCGACTGAAACCATCGGAACAAAGTAAGATTGGACGATTTCAAATTCATCCAACATGTTCCCTGTTGGCAATAGACCGTGGAATGGAAAAACAGCCCCGGTGTCTTTCAAATGGAGTAAGATCCGAGATTCTTCGAGGATCCTTTCAAACGATCCATTTTCATAAGCGCGTATCATGACGACACATTTGCAATGGACTAGTGTTCCAATATGCACTTTGGCTCTTGTTCCACCCAGGTAGATATACATTGGAACTAAAGTGTCATTGGAAGCCGCTTCCCCATTTTCCGAGTCGTCGTCTTGGCTAGTTCCGTTCTGAATATCCGTGATGGCGTCCGGTCCCAGTATGGGCACATTGTAATGTATGAGTGGTGGATAATTATTGGGTTTTATGTTAGAAAAATCCTGGAACTTTACTCTCTTTCGTTCGATCTTGTGTTTTTCCTTTTCGAAAAGATCTTTCAAAGAAGTGACGAGATCGCTTAGCGTCGGGCGCATTTCTGGTTGAGTTTGGAGACATTGATTGGCAAGCTTCTCCAGTTCCTCAATGCGGCTTATGTTACTGATCCGGCTTAGGAGCGAACCAAGACTGTAAACATCCGAAGCCGGTGTTCCTGGTTGGCTTTTCCGAAGCTCTGGTGCTAAATGCTCATACGTGTAAAGGGAGCCATTATAGTTGTTATATTTATAACCAGAACGAAACGTAGCGTGTCCCATGTCGATATACACCACCCGTAAATGAGGAGGTTCGACGAGAACGTTACCTTCGTGAATATCGTTTAATAACACATACTTTTGGTGAATTTTTTGTAACCCAACCGCTAGCTGTAATGAGATATTAAGCCAGTTGATTGGCATCAGCGTTGTTTCGTTTTCTTCATTCAGATGATCTTCCAGCGTCATACCGCTGACATATTCTTGCACCAGAGAAAGGTTACTGGTCATCGGGCCCGTTGGAAGCAGTCCAAGAATTTTCGGAATTACCCCGGTGTCGGAAAGGTATTGGGTTATGATTACTTCGGAGATGATGTCTAGATAATCGGAATCTAGAAAAAGTTTAACCGCAACTACCTGCTTGCTTTCCACCATTTCTGCCAAATATACTTCGCCAAAGGAACCCTTACCCAGAAACACAACCTCGTCGTCGTAATCCCGAAAGTAACGAACAGATTCAGCATCAAGTAACTGGGTACCGATGTGAGCCAGGTTAGCCGGTATATTCTGATAGCTGTAATTGTATTGAAAGAAGACGTCCGAAATATCTTTGATTTCATAGTTGGTATCGTAATTCCGATAACTACTTCTTTCGCTAGCATCACTTCCGTTGATTTCTTGGTTCAGATCTTGACGAAAGTCCTCAACAAACGAACCGCTTTCTGTGGCGTTTCGGCCTGGCTTTGAGAACGAAGTCATTAGAAGATGGTAACTGAAGCCGCAACAGCAATTACCATTCCATTTTGGGCAGCAGTCGTTGGGGGGAAAGTTGCACATCATATCGATTTCCGGCTTCATCTTCATCTGCACAGCAACTGTCAAAAAAAATAAATAAGATGCGCTGCTATTAGAAACTACAATTCATATAATTGCTTGTTCATGTCTTTTAAAAATAATTACGGTATTTAAGATATTTTGCAATTGATTATAATTTCGGTTTGGGTATACTTCTATATTTATCTATACGAGGAACTGCTTGAAAGGTCCACAGACCAAACTTTGATTTGGTCAATCAGAATTAATATTTTTTCCTTTTTAGGGCTGAAAGTATTTCAGCACTTTCTCGTACTGTTAACTTTAAGTAGTTTCATATTATCTCTAAATACAGGAAAAATTAATACGAATTAAAAAATAAAAAGGAATGTATTAGCAATCTGATCTCACTTACTAATCCTCTATGGATGTTGATTTAATGGCGTCAATTATCGTAACAGTGGAATGGTTCATTAAAAAGAATTGGGGATTGCGTGATCGTTAAAGATACTCAGATCATTTTTTATATTACAGATGAGATTGCAATGATTCGATTGTCAGATAAGGGAAGACATCTGCCAATGATCATCTTGTTCTTCAATGTGGCTGAGATGATATATTATTTTACAGTTCTGAATACTAGTGATTTTCTAAACGTAGCTTAGATGTGGAACAAGGTCGAAAGTACAGGACACCTCGTGAGGATCGAATTCAGTTGCAATTGTTCTAGCGAGATGAGCCTGCTTACCATTCCACCACGTCGCTGTGCCACAAGTTCTGAGCCCTATGATAAATAACGTTTATTGTTCTTGCTAATTTTATATTATATTTTTAACTAAAAAAAGTGACAGAAATCAAGTACTTTCCGGGGCGGTAAAATGAGTTGAAGATTTTTTCCAGAATTTTTAACGATGGAAATATGAGCTGTACTTGAAATCTGGAAATGAACTTTAGTCCCAATAGACTAAGAACTTCATTGAAAGTACAAACTCTCTTTATGAGTGGAGGAAATTCAGGGTCTATTTGGTGATGATCAAACGAAACTAACTTGGTTCCATTATACTCCCGCCCATTAAGCTGTGCTAGATTTCCGTCTAGGTTCTAGTCATTTAGATTTTGGGGGGTTCAACCATAAAGAGTGGTATCGTCTGCATATGATGAGAATTGCAAAAGAGGGTCTGACATGAAATTTTGTATGAATACATATACATGTCGTTGAATTTCTCTACGCGGAAAACAATCATCGACTACTGCGGAAAGTTTACGGAGATCAAATAGTTGATGTGAGCATAACTAGAGCGATGTGTTTGTTAAACAAGACACATTCCGAGCGGCCCTACACATCAGTCAACCGGCAAACAGAGAACGCCTCGATCATCTCATCCGCTCTTGTGAAAAAATGTTTTGTAGCTGAAAAATTCTTCTGTCCAACAGTGACATTGAGCTTCCTGTAAATTTCCTTGGAAATAAATTCAGCTTACGACTACTTTGAAACCCTGGTTCCGGTACGATCTCCAAAATTAAGCAAAGTCATGCCTAGTCAGTTCCTAGATGGGTGGCCGTTTGTGAATATCAGGTGCCGCCTTAAGCTTGGCTGGTGTAATGGATAATGTCTCAGAATTGTTAACCACAAAGCCGAGTGCCAATTCCAGTTGGCTTCGTTATATTTACTTACGCGCATATACCTTTGGGAAAGGCATGAATCCACCTTTTCTCCCCCTACATATGGGTTAATTAGTAAGACTTGTATCACTAAATATATACTCCCTTTAAAAAACTATTCTTACAATCTAAAAATATTTTTTGTCTTTAAATAACCTGCAATGGGTTGGTAAGTCGTAAAAAATGAATCAATTGTGGAAATAAATAGGAGGTATTATTTCGGATCATGAGAGCAGGAATGTAGGTATTGGCGCGTGGCGGGGGGACTGTTTTCTGCAGGCATAAGATAAAATGAACGATAAGTCATGGAAATTTTCTTCCTATCAACTCGAAAACTTTTCCATTTTCAAAGGTAAATGTCTTTGTGGCGAAGTTATCTTTCAGACAACGTGTACCTTCTAAATAGTTTCTATTTTCTATTATTATTTTCTATGTGTCGTGTCCCTTCAAGACGTTTGCGATCATGGCTCTCCACAATTTCTTGTTCCTTGTAACTCTTAATAACTTTGTCTTTTTAGCTTCTCCACCAAACTCCGTTCCGCCATCACACAATCTTGCCAATTAGGTTTTCAATTGTCTCTTAAGTTCAATATGTCCTGTAAGCATCAAATTTTCCAAAGCCCTCCTTACTCAGTATGCGTCCCAGAAATTTCAACTGCCTTTTTCTGATATTAAGTATTAGTGTCCTTTTTGGCATATATGTATATATATATATATCTTGTATGGTCTGGTATACTTTATTTTTGGTAACTTAGCGCATTCATTCAAGAAACAACTAGGTGACTTCGCTAATCTTAATGTATATTGGTAGCGTTGAAATGAAAACTTCTATTATTTTTTCTAATTTTCTTTTATCCTTTTCAATTTCTATGCCATCTTACTTCCGATTTTTTTTTCTTCCTTCATTTTTTTAATAGTGGTTATTCGGAAAGTTAAAACTGAATAATTATTAACTTATTAACCGATCCATAAACCCTTTCCTCAAAACAGATAGGTAGATATATATATATATATATATATATATATATATATATATATATATATATATATACAGTAGCGTCCAAAACTAAGGGACAAAATTTTAAAACCTAATATTTGTTAGAAATAACAACTGTGAAAAGCTGAAATTTTGACAACTGGTAGTCGTTATCATCCATAATAACATACTAAAATTTGAATCATTTGCAAAAGGATAGAAAAGAATTATAACAATTATTTATTTATTTTCAAAATAGGATCGTCCAAAAGTAAGGGACAAAATTGAGAAAAACAATGTAAATAGTATGCTATATTCAAATTTTTTGATTTCCTCTAAAGAATAAGTCTTACTTAGTCATTTGTAAACGTTGCATCAGCCGGCACCATGGCGAAACGCCAAAAACTTGATTACTCTGTGAGACAAGCTATTGTGAAGCTACACAAGGGAAAAGCACACCATTAGAGTGATTTCAGAGAAAGTGAAACGTTCCAAGAGTGTTGTAGGCAGGGTTGTTAAACCCTACAATGATACTGGCAAAATAGTTAGTGCTTTTAAAACCGGCAGACCCTGCAAAACTTCGGCAAGAGAAGATCGAATAATGCAGCGTATGTCATTAAAGGACCGTTTTAAGTCTTGCACAGAAATTAAAAGGGTTATGAATAGTACCTCATGTGTTAATGTGTCAAGACAGACTGTTTGTAGACGACTGCAAGAAATAGGGCTGTTTAATCGAACCCCAGGGAAGAAACCACTTGTTAGTTCGAAGAATAAGAAGATTAAAGATTAGAGTTTGCAAACAGGTATGTAATTTGGACATATGAAAATTGGGCAAAAGTATTTTTCAGTGATGAAAGCAAGTTTAATTTATTTGGAAATGATGAAAAAAACAATGTAAAGAGACGTATTGGTGAAAGATTAAGTGCAAAGTGTACTAAGAAAACTGTCAAGTTTGGGGGTGGAAGCGTCATGGTATTTGGAATGTTTTCTAGCCAAGGTACAACGCCTCTTGTCCGGTTACAAACTCGTGTAAACGCGCAGATCTATAAAAACATTATTCAAGATCATGTTGTGCCAATCATACAGAATTCAGGTTTCGATAGGGCTACATTTATGCAAGATAATGCCCCATGTCACAAGGCAAAGGTGGTAATGAGTTACCTTAGCGAGCAAGATTTGGAAATTATGGATTGGCCACCGCAAAGTCCTGACTTAAATCCAATAGAAAATCTTTGGAAGACCTTAGGAGTGAAAGTTATGGAAAGAAATCCCACTAACACGGAGGATTTGTGGGTGAAGCTCAAAAAATTGTTATTATCGAGGATTGTCAAGAACTGATTCGTTCTTGTAGTCGAAGATGTGCAGCTGTCATTGAGCAAGGGCTCATTTACTAAATATTGATTGTACATGCATTTTTATTGTTTTTTTGCTGTTTACATTGTTTTTCTCAATTTTGTTCCTTACTTCTGGACGTTCCAAATTTGAAAATAAATAAATAATTGTTATAATTCTTTTTCTATCCTTTGCAAATGATTCAAATTTTAGTATGTTATTATGCATGATAACGACTACCAGTTGTCAAAATTTCAACTTTTCACAGTTGTTATTTCTAACAAATATTAGGTTTTAAAATTTTGTCCCTTAGTTTTGGACGCTACTGTATATATACTCGTATACACACAGAGACATATATATGAGGCAAGTATTCTAAACCGGCTACCCAATTCCATGTTCTTGAGAGTGAGGTGGATTGTTAGCAACCCAGTAGGACGGAAATTAATACCTAACAAAGAGCGGGAGAACTCTCGATGTGTGAACGGCCAGCTAACTAGAGACGGTGTCTCCATAAACCACCATGGAGAAGGCAACAGGAAACCACTCCACTATTTATCTCAAGATATAAAACAAATAACAAACAAATTATGAAACCTAACGGTGTGGATGGAGATTAAATCTATGTGCAACCGGTGTCACCTGAGCGTTATCCAGCGACTACTAGCGTAAACAGCGTAAGTGGGGATAAAATTCCTCGGAACTTATCCCTCGCCTGGAAAGGAGCGATATGAGTGACATATGTCACCGGACCGTCACCCAACGACTAATCGCATCAAACAAAAAATAAGTCTCGAGACATGGAACGTTAGAACGCTAAACAACTGCGGCTAGTCGGAAAATGTAAAACAGGAGGTGAGTAGGTTAAATGTGAACATTTTAGCTGCATGCGAAACTAGGTGGCCAAACAACGGAGATTTTGTCAGTGACAACCACAGGATTATATATGCAGACGAAGAGAAAAATGAAAAAGGAGTCGGATTGATACTAGATCAAGACATCAAAAAATGCGTCCTGGGATACTGTCAATTATCTGAAAGAATTCTTGCAGCTAAACTGAAAGGAAAGCCTTTCAACATCACTATTATAATA